AGCACTGTCGTCGTCTGGCCGCGACCAAATTGGCCCTCGAACCCAACGCCTGACAAAGGGCACCTCTCCATAACCTCTCGAATATTAATCTCTCGTCCACAGGAATACGTTGACTTTTAATGGGACAATAATCGGAAGACAAACGGCCTTCTAAGACCAAACGATTTTTTGGACTATTGTAAAACATTTTCGTCGGAAAAGCACAACAAAAAAACGCGAACCCTAATATCATTTACGAGCTAGAAAACTGGAAGACGCGGTATCACCACTGTTATAACTTACTAGTACTATAATTATAAACTAAATGGAAGACATATCGGATTTTGTGTATCGCGAAAAGTTCGTTTCACATTTTGATTTGATCGGAGGAACGTTTGACGTTAAACGATCCGCGTCACGACGGGCACTTTCTGTGTCGAAAACAGACCCGACTCCGTGGGTGGTGGGGCGGGGAGGGACGAGCGCCGGGACGCGCAGCATCCCGACGCCGGATGCACGGGATTCACGCCGGAATCGATTGGAATTAGGGAAAATGACACTTTCGAAAGGCTTAAAACGATCTCGAGATAATAAGTTTTTGCTGGAATTTTACGTACAGTGGCTTTAAATGACCTTCTATAGCGAAATAAAGCATGATCTTGAGATATTTGCCAAACTGCTACGAATTTATTTTGTTACTTAGATCACTTTCTTCTACTGTAACACGTCTACAAGGCGGTGAAACGGCATACCGTAAACAATCGGTGAGTCATCACGAAAAGGAGAGTAAATGCCGGTCGCTAAAGGGTTATTTGTTCATTTATACACATGATACACAGGCAACAGTACAATATTCCCAAAGGGCGAAGTCTAGTGGACCAGGTTATCTAGTCATTCATTAACCCAACTAGATAAATCCATTTATTATACACCTTTTTGCACTACATAATACATACATTTTACTCTATTCAGATTTATGACAATATACTAAGTATTACCCGTACTAAACAAAAATAAAATAAAAGCGAAAGGAAGAGTAAGATTAAGTAAGTATTTAGAAAAATAATCATGTAACTATTAGAAGTTGAACTAAAAACCCAAGTCACACAACAACAACAACAAAGTTTTTGCATTATTGCTCGTAAAGCGCAGTTCTGTGTTATGGCACAGTTAGGCTATTCACCCTAATATTTACATTATAAGTTTCGCTACGAAAAACTAATGTATTATTATCTATTATTTAAATAGAGAAGTTTTTATTACCTTATATACAGGTGTCCCTTAAAGAATGATACATGGCAAAATTCTATAGGAAAAATATTACGATTTAACGAAACCTACCTGAATCCAAAAGTTGATATTAACTCAGACACAGGTTCTCAAAGTTGCAATTTCATTTTTGATTTTTTAAATAATTTCTGAAATAGTTTGCACAAAATTTAGTAAATCGGGATTTTTGGAATGAAAAATTCATTTTCTTGAATAATTTTGGAAGAAATTGTAGAGGGCGCTACGTATGGTACTTTTCGCGCATTTCATACTTCTTAACTTTTTTGCGCTTTAGTCTATGCAGACTTTTAATAAAGATATCATCGCTAACAGGTTTTTTAAACAAATTTCTGTCCAAGTTGCCGTTTTCGAGAAATGCACATTTGAAATTTTCGTTGCACCTACTTCAACAGTTTCATGACGACATGCATGGCTTTGAATAACATAATCACAATAAAAGGCAGTAAAATAGTGCGAGATAGACTCTGACGAAAACAGAGACAATAAAATACCTGCAAAATTTTCCTTGTAATAGGCGTTGTAGTCAAACCAAAACTAACCAAATGCGACTTAGGTTCTGGGGAATTTCTTTGCTGTTTTGCAATATCTTGGGTGTTTTTAAAAAAGTTTTGGTTAGTTTTCCGATAATGCCAAGACATAACTTGTTTCATAATAAATTGATACATGTTGGTACCCATCGAACTACCACCTAATTTAAACGGTGAGCTGTACATCAATTTATTGCAGACTCAATCAGTCGATTGTCTGGATGATCTATCCTTAGAGTTAAGAAGAACAATTATTTTCGTGCAAGATGGAGTTTCGGCGCACTTTTCGAGACATTTTAGAGACTAACTAAATAATCAATTTTCTTATCGGTGGATTGGTCGTGGGTAGTTTTGGGACTGGTCTATTGACTAGTCAATTGACCACTTCTCGACAAAAAAATGTTTTAAATAACATCTGGAAATTGTAGAATGTTATCTACCATTATTTAATATGTATTTTATAATAAATTATTATGCATCTGTGATGTCCAATTTACACATAACCTTCTTCAAGGAATATCCGAATACGATACGTAGCAATTCCAATAATAATATCGACTCCATTTGGTTCACAGAACGACGCGACGGCGATGTAACGCACAATAAATATAAATTTCATGGTATTTTAAAAATTATTTTGGTCAATTGATTGGTCAATTGACAAAAAAATTTGACCGCTCGATTAAACAACCCTAGTCTTGGCCGCCTAGGAGTCCAGATTTCAATCCTATTGAATTTTGTGTTTGAGGGTATATGAAGTCACTAATGTATGAAGTAGTTCATAGTCGAGGTTAATTATGGCAGAGGATTATTATTTCAGGCAGCCTTTCAATAAACGTGTGTCTAAATGCAGCACAGTGAATGGAAATCATTTTAAACATTTATTGCTGAATAGAAGCCTTTTTTTAATAATCGTTTTTTTATATACTATATATAATATAGTTTAAAAATAATTTTGTGGTTCCATAAAATTGTTTTCATTGAAGGCGAAGTTTTTTTGAGTATCTTGTAAAAATCTCTAAATAAATAATATTAAAAACGCTGTTAAGATCTGTACTACCATATTAGCTCAGTTCACTAACTAGGTGATTTTAAAATTGATTGAAAATTAGTACGTAATGATGTACTGAAAATTTCAAGTTCAAATTTCTCGAAAACATCGACTCCGGGCGAAATTTAGGCATGCGTTTTCTATGCAAAAAAGGTTTAAAAAGTGATATCTTAATTAAAAATCTGCATACTCTAAGGCGCAAAAAAGTAAGAAAGAATCAATTGCACGAAAAGTACCATACGTAGCGCCCTCTCAACTTTCCCCAAAATTGTTCACGGAAATGGATTTCTCATGTCAAAAACTCCAATTCGCCAAATTTTGTGCAAAAAGTTCATTTATTTTATTAAATTATTATTTAAAAACGTCAAAAATGAAATCGCAACTTTGACATAAAGTCTCTCGGTTAATATCAACTTTTGGATTAAGTAAACGTTAGTTAAATCATAATATTTTAACCTAAAGAATCTCCTATTTATTATTATTTATAGGATACACTGTATTAACAGAGAAAACAGGTATTCGAATAAATTGTATATATGCAGCTCTTTAATTTTTGGGGACACGTGGTCATATTTCCTTAAGTCAAACACAACAAACCTACAACAGTTGTTTTGTATTTTTTGAATGCGTTGACGATGAAAGAGTAAACATGGGTAATACAGTACGAGGCAATATGACAATGGGGATATACACACAGAGTTTTTAATACAGAGTAAGAATAAAGTAAGTTCCTTTACTTAAATATGAAATGCTCTCACTAAATCTTAATGAAGCGTCCACCGTTACCCCAATGTTTTTTAACCTAGTAGCAAACGACAAGGGTTCCCCATTTATTTCAAGATGCAACTATATTTTTAGTAAGTGCACTGCACAATCGGGTGCAAAGAGTAAGTAAGTAAATACAGGCAGCAGATCAAAATTAATATCCCCTTGCCCTCATCATAATGTAATAGATCAAAAAAGTTCACCAGTATCGTCAGCATATGACTGATATTGGCAAAACTGCGACGCGGTGCCCAAATAAAAGAAATACAGTAAAAATAAGAGTGGCCCCAAGATTAATCCTTGAGGCACCACTATTGCAATTTTACAGATAAAAGTGAATGTTCCGCACAATCAAAAAGATACAGAACGAGAATTTATTTGGTCGAGGCTGTGAATAATTCAATACGTCATATCCAACAAAACTGTTACCGGACGGAGCTCTGATTACTTTTAACAAATTCATAGATATCTAAGTTCAGAAATTCAGAAATTTGCTAATGTTCACGCCTCAATGAGGATAATATAAAATTACGAAGGTGATAATGTATCTGTCTCGATTTATTCAGTAGATCTTTGACAGTGAAAAAACGTCAAACGTCAGTATTTTTATCAAAAACGTTTACCCGTCGTTACGGGTCTCACAATTAGTGTGTGAGATTTTTTTTTGTTTTTTGATACGGTGCCTCGATTTGTTGATTGCCTTAAATTACTACTGCTCAAAGTTTTTCTGCAAAAGACCGGATAAAAGTAAGCCATCCCTTTCACGTTTTCTCTATGTTATATTTTCATTAAATTAACTTTAATAATAATCATATATATATATATATATATATATATATATATATATATATATATATATATATATATATATATATATATATATATATATATATATATATATATATATATATATATATATATATATATATATATATATATAACGTACCAACGATACCAAAGTTGTATCAAAACTACAGATTTCCAACTTGCCAAAGCCAAATTTTAGGTATCAACTAGAGTAACTTAGGGACGATTTTAGTGGTCTAGCAAACCAATGTCTCTTCCAACCAAAATTTTGCTGTTGTCTAGCATTTGGTGGTCAATAAAAATATTCTTCACATGCCTTGAATTTTTTGATTTTACACTGTCAATTAAGCAGAGGGCAACAAAAACCTGTTTTTAGATAAAAATCACTTAAATCAATTTAATTACTATTGAACATAAATTTTGCTAATAGTTGCCATTAAAAATCAACTTGACTATGTCAGCTATATTGCAAATCATAGGCGATCACAAAAAAACAAACCAAAACTAACCAAAACAAATGAGCAACATACTTTGGAATTAGTACATACAGTCTATAAATACAAGTAAAATTTTTCTCTTACCTTGGTCTACCCCAATAATCAACAGATTTGTCTAATTTTGTCCCTTGTTTCATTAATACATTCCTGTAGTTGTTCACTTTGTTTTGAACAGCTTCCTCACTAAATCTGTAACAAATAAACACATCACACTTATATAGAATACATAGATATCAGGTGCACACATTAACAAGTGAATATGGGTTAACACCAAAAATTGGAATTTACGTACCCTTGTTCTTCGAGTATTTCAGAAAATTCAGCACATTTGAGTTCAATTTTTCTTTTTCGCTCATGATCTAATATTTCTTTATTTGGTTGTCTATTATTTGCTGTGTCCAAAATCGCTAATTCTTGTTCAGTTTTGTAGGAGGTTGACTTAGCCTGAGGACGAACAGATGCCCAGTTCCTCTGTACATGACCATTAGTACCCGAACCCCTGGGGGTAGCTAATCCTATTCCGTTGTACATTTATAGACTAAAAATTCAAAAAAACTTAGTTACGTGCAATGGAAAATCCGCTAAAATTGAATTTTGCGTTTAAAACCAAATGTCAATTATAGTACGCCTTAAATAAGTATTGATTTATTCGAACTTTCAAACCCTAAATGTATGAACCTAAAATAGCACTACATTACCGACAAAAGTGAATTTATCTACCTTTCATTAAATTGCATACAAATAACAAAAAATAACTAGCATCTAGCATTCATAAAGCATTTCGTATAGCAAATCGTCAACATCCACCCCATAGATAAATTCAAAGCATAAATTAAGGTTGGAGTCTCATGAAGAAAAATGACATTTCTGACACGTTAGTAAATTGGTAACCATGAAAGGTCACAGACCAAAATAAATTGGATTTTACTTAGAAATCAATGGCCCAGAAAGTAAAACGAAAAAAAAACGAAGAGATGGGAATAATACTAAATTAGTCGGGCCCAACTGTATTAGTGAAACGCATCATTGAATTGAATAATACTAAATTCTGGATTTGTCCGTGGCATTGCACATGGCAGTTTAACCTTCGTTCGCTCCCGACAGAATCCGTTATAATCGTCCTTAATTTTTTTAAACTTATAAATCATTGTCGGCATCACTGTTTTTTCTTGTTCACGCCGGTATAGAGGCCCGGTTGGTCTGTGGGGGTAGCGGAGGAAGCCGTTTTTTGCTATCGGTTAAAGATACTTTTTTGTTGAAATCCATTTTGTATATGTTAATCAACCTGGAGGATGATGGATTGGTCCAGAGCCTTCTTTTAGGAAGGCATTGTTCAGGATTTTTGGATTCTGTTCACACTTGTCGTAAGCTGGCCGAATGACCTATTGTAATTGTGGCCATTAGAAGTAATTCCAATCCAATACTAAATTTCGTTTTATTACGTTATAGTTTATAGTGGACTACTTTCTTTGTGGCAGATTGTTTGCATCATTGGTTTGTGTTTGGTCACTTCAAGAATTATAAGGGTATTGTGAGAATAATCCTGAGATATAATTCGACGCGTTTGCTTCTATAAACTTATAGGTTTAACCTCGATGAAAAATATAATGTCGCAACCACTAAAGATGACTGTTAAAAGTGTATATATATATATATATATATATATATATATATATATATATATATATATATATATATATATGTATTGGTTTAAATAAATAGGATAGCAACATGTAATATGCTATGTATATTCTTTTATAGGTATTTATTATCATCCATAGCTTTTACTTTTTCACTCGCCGCTTCATTGGTGATTACTGAATCGAAAGGGTAAGGGTAAGGAGGTTAACGGAGATGAAATATATAGTCGTAACGTCTAAGGATAACTATTAAAACTGTAAATATATGTATTTAGTATAAATAAATGGGATATCAATATATAACATGCTGTGTGCATTCTTTTATAGGTATTTATTGTGATCCATAGCTTTTACCTTTTCACTCTCCGCTTCATTGGTGAATACTGTATCGTAACGATCGCCTAACGGCGATAAAAAATATAAATAAAGTCAGAACCTCTAAGGATAACTATTAAAAGTGTAAATATATGTATTTAGTATAAATAAATGGGATATGAATATATATGCTGTACATACATTCTTTTATAGGTATTTATTGTGATATATAGCTTTTACTTTTTCACTAGCCTCTTCATGGGTCTTTTCAAACGTGATTTATATAAATCGGCGTCTCCTTTGATGCGTTTTCATACACGTTGAAAACCTTTTTTTGTTGTCTTTATAAATTGATGCGAATCAGGAATCAACACAAATGTCCTGAAGAAGGTGAAGGCTTGGAGTGGGACTGCCAAAGAGATGGGAATCACACATTTACCCATACCTATGTCGCCTCGAGTTTGTTGTAATCGTCTCAAATCGTCAAAATTTGATGTTGACCTTGATAAGTATTATAAAAAAGCGATATTCATGAGGGCGCAGCTCCCTGTACGGACGGTGGTGTTCACCCAGTTCTTCCCACTGCTGGGTGAACCCAATACCGCTTCCTCCTATATAACTGCGTGAACGACGTAGTCAGTATCGCCGAACACCAAGCTGGAGGTCGTTCCATAAGGGCTGCGTTACAAAGTGTTCTGTATGCTTGAGCCTATAGATAAATCGTTTTTTTTGTCTCTAGAGTTATGGTTGAAACATGATGAAAATTGTTTAGGCCGCCTAACTGTGTATTTAAAATGTTCAAGGTATTTTTTTAGATATACCTAAAATATATGGTGCGGGGAGCAAAAAAAATGTATTTAGCAATCACAATTCCAGTAATAGTAGAAAAAAAACTTTAAACCAAATGTAATGGTCCAAAAAATCAATACATTTTACAATACACTCTATTAAATGTCCTTGAATGTTAAACGAAAGTTCTCTATTATTTCTGTGGATATGCCTGGCTCATTGTATTCTCTGCCGCAACTCAAAAAACGACAGAATTAGACGGCTTAAACAAAATTACCTTTTTTGACGAAAAATAAACATTCTTTCATATTTTCTTCACATTTCAATCACAACGACAGATACATTTAATTGCCAGCTAGAAAAAAAATGCTGGTTTGTGGTTTCCAGAAAAAAAATGTGTTCCATGAAAACAACGTTATTGCGTTTCCTGCAAGGAGCGGGCTGTGTAATTTACTGATATTTTACCAGTTCTAGCGCTTAACCTAGGCTCTCCTAAATACTGCAAAAAAAAACACTGGTCGCATAGCAAAGATACAAATATTACCAAAAGTCAATTCAATTTTTATTAAAATAAAAACTTTGATTCCTTCACTTAGTCTTTTTACCTCTTACGTAATACTGTTAAATTATTTAAATTCCAGTTGGAAAAGTATCACATTGTCCAGCGTTTGGTAAGCACAGATAAAATCCTGGGCCGCTTTGAGGGAATTATTACAGATCCATTATATATATCGTCCTCTAAGGAAGCGCGGCGTGATACTAAAACAGTATAAAAATAGCGTGAAAAAATGTAATATCTTGACAGTGACCAAGACAATAGTCCCAAACCGATGCATCTAAATTCTGAAACATTTTCCAAGCCATACACTAAACAAATGAAATAATCATATCAGAAGCACATAAAATCCCCAAATACCTTTTTTATAGCTCAATATAAGCAGAGAGAAAGTACCTCAACAAAATGGGCTGTTAGAGATTTTAAACCTTAATTGCATAATACAATTTGTCTTGAAAAAAATGTATGTACAGGCACTACGTAATTTGGGAGCACATTTCTTAAACCCCAGTTTTCGATAAGATATATGTACAAAAGTACTTGATTACTGAGATGTAGGCTGTTGAATTTCTCATCACATCACTAAAGAGATTGTTATGAAACCAAATGAAAATTGAGTCGTATTAAATTCGATCTTGTATTTGTTATTCTGTTGTTGTTGTTGGGTGGATAGAGCAGAAAATTATTTTAAAATTGGACCATTTAAGGATATTATTATTATATTATATTATTATTAGTGTAAGACCAAGTTTAAACATACTAGCTTTATTTCTCAGCTCTTTTCCCTAGGGAAGGAATTTAGTCCTAATGTCCAACGTTGGCCAGGCGGATTGGAAGATGTTTTTCACAACACAAACACCCTAGGCTCGCGGTGGCAATTTAACCCACAACCTCTTTCAAGACGCCAGGCCAACCCAGCCATCCTCCATCCCCAAATACTTGCCTATTTCTACACAATTGAGAAAGCCAACAATAACCTTGGACCAAGGTCAAACATTTAACACCTTCTGTATTAAAGCATAGGTAATCAAGGGAATTTCATTTACTCAAAATTGAACGGGAAATAATTTTTATACAAAAAGGAGTGGCTTATACATTTTTACTTCAAAAACTTTTTGTTCCAGAAATATTTATATTAGAAAACTGACAAAATCACACCTTAAAATATGTGCTCCCAATTTATGGACACTCAGTGCACTGTTTTAAATACTTCCTATCCCTTCCACGTCGTTAAAACCCTACTGCCACTAAAGGAGTGGGGAGAAGAGTTTGCTTTAGTTCATAATCTCTATAGAGGCAAAGTTAAGCTATTGCTTGCGGCAAGGCTTTTAAGCACTTTGTGAATGAATTTGTCCGTCGTCGCTTTTAGATGTCTTCGGTGGAACAGACGACGAAACACAAACAAATGGGCTGATACGTGCAGCGTTGACAGGAAATAAAAAGCGGATGGCAAAAAAAATCAACTTTTATTTAGGTACACACCATTCAAAATTAAAAAAAGCAACAAAAACATAAATTACCGCTTATGTAAAAACTAAATCTGTACAAGAAACCCGACATACAAAGCACGAACATATGATTCACTGAATTTTGTGCTCCATGAGGGTGTAAATACAACTCAAGACGTTTATGTACTTCCAAACAACAAATTGCAAAACCGATGTCGTTCTGCATAAATGAATAATAAGATATACGTACCAGGAAAAAAAATTAGGTACCATGTGTTTGTAATACACTATATTTGTGGTGACATCCAAACAAAAGCATTTGCCTATAAGTTTTACGGGTATTTCAGTTTTTGTGCGTTTTTTAATTATTATAGAATATTTAACGCACTTTGTGATTATCTACCAATATATACAATTATTACTGTGTAACTATCAAAACTGAAAATGAAAAAACGAATTAGTTTAACTTTTCTCACTCGTGGCATTTAAGTGTAAAAATAAAAAGACTTGAAAATTTTAAAAGCCACATTTGATAATTGTATTGAATTTGCGTTATTAGGGTCAAGCAATATTAGAGCTCAATTAGATTCTGCTTCTTGGGTAAATATATAGAAACATAATGAAAATGTGTCAAAGAACAGAGATATATTTTATCAAACATTATGAATTGTATTCAATTTTGTTGAGCGAAAATTCCGAGAATCCCGGGATATATATTTTTAAATTTTCAAAGAAATTCAGAAAAAATAATTGACCAAATTAATAATTCTCCATTTTTGGGTCCGGTAAGATTTTTGCAAGAATTGCAGAACACCTTAAAGTTGATCCCTATGAGCCGCCACTGGAGTTAAAGCATTTTATTAATAACGGAAATAAAACCTATAATATTAAAAAAACTGCATGTTTAGCTTTGACAAATTGTGAAGTGTTGGATACTAATTATTCAGACACTGATCAATTCTAGTAATTAATTAGCTGAAAATTTATTGGGCCTATTAATACATAGTGATAAATGACCACAAATATGGTTAAATAGTCTCCGATAATAAAAAATCACGCACAGACTGAAATAATCCTATAAACTTATTTTGCAAATCCGTTTGTTTATATCCCAAACTTTGACAGCTGACGTCACACTGATATAACGTATTAGGACGCCGCTAGAAGCTTTTTACCTACAGAGTGAAGCATCATTGTCAAGTTTCAATTCCTAATCAGCAGTTCCTGCATTAAGTTTTACCTTATCCTAGATACTAATTAGCTGTAACCAGGTAAACCTAATTTCAACAAAATCTGTTTATGTAAAACAACAACGCTGTGTTGGAGGAGATTATACAACTATTATCGCTTTATTCCTGCGGCTTTTGTAGTTGTATATAATTTAGCGTAATATGATATGAGCGATTCATCGCGATATGGCAGGGTAATTTTGGCGGGAGCGCGAGAGAAAAAAAATTGGAATACCTCATTAAACAATAATACTGACAAAGTTTTCGGCAACTTCTTTCTCTCTCCCCACTACCGTTGCAACGGCGCCCACCATTTATATGTATAATCGATTAGGTACAGAGAAAATGGTTTACTTGGACCTACTCTCTTGACAAACATCTTTCAATTTATCGATTGAATGTACATGGTGAAAGTTGGAAATATAACCGAGCTAACATAGGATGCCTCTATCGATTGTAATATTAGTTTTAGACACTGGCGCGTGTGTTATATGACGGCACGTCGTACCACACTGAGGACATAGGCAGTTAGCGGAGACTGTGTACGTACGAACGGCCGCGTCTGTGAATGATCCGTTGATGGTGTTCCGCTTGTGTTGAAAGTCTTTTGGTAGGGATTTTGGGGCATCTGATATGCAGGAGAAGCTCTTCCGTTGGCTTATCGGGGTCGCTTTGGGTGATATATTTAACAATTCTGAGGACTTCATTGGTAAGGTAGGTACTAAGTTCGTTTTCAATGATATCCAGGGATGGTCCAGCAGTTCATGTACTGAGGGCCTCTTCCTAGAATTGAGAAAAATAATCGTTTAATGCCGATACGATACGATACGATTTAATAATAATAATAGCCATAAATAAAATAATAATAATAATAATAATAGTAATAACAAAAAAAAATAACAATAATAATCTATTAATATATAAAAATAGTATATAAGAAAAGAAAAAAATAGGGTTCAACTGCCCAGCAACGAAAAGTCTTTTTGTTGTTGTAGGAGGCAAAATTCTAAGACCAAGAGTCATCTAATAAAGAGTAACGTTTTATAAGAGGAAGGGGATATAATCTATTTACGCTTAAGGCCAAATTATGAGCATCATATCTAAATTTAATTATGGTCATACAGTCGTCATGAATAAATTGGCATAATACAAAATATGAAAAGTAGCATGAACGGGATCAACCCCAGTACGCAAACTAGTGCATTAAAGTCATAGCGCACGTACCTAAATTTCAAGGAGTAACCTATAAAATGAATGATTTAATGAGGCGTTTTTAGAAAATTGTTGCAACCAAGACCTAGATTCAATTTTTTCTCAAATTTCATTTCGTTTAATTAAATGACATAATATTCAGGAGTTATAAGCATATAATAAGATCATTTGGTTATTTGAGTCCTATCAGACAGAGAATCCTCAAGCCAGGCCCCTACAACATCAGATGATTTGGAACAGCCGAGTATTACCTTTAAGATGAAATTAATGACTTTCGTGTTACTAGTGTATGATTTTTTTTTCAGAAGAATTTTGTTCTTAGGAAATTTGTCTACCACATTGTCGCTAATAACTGTACGCAGAAATAGCTTTGAAAAAGAGGTAAATTGACTGTAAATCATAAAAATAAACTAATTTATCTGTCAATGTTAGTATCAATGTCAACTGTCAAATTGATGTCAGTGGGGTTAGAACAAAAGCACTTTTGACTCCAATTAATAAAAAGTATAAAAACTGGTGAAAATGTCTTTTTTTTGTGCTTCGTTAAATCTAACAAAAAAAAAGTTAGTTCTGCGGAGTCAATTGTTTCATCATATTTACCTGGGATCCACTATAAGGGCGGTCTTAATAAAGTCTATAGCTGCGCTGGATACATCATCGAAGTGTTCAGGTTCGAAAGACAATGCGCATTTTGAAATGTTGAGGAAGGTCTGCTGCTTATCGTCCGCCCCAAATGGACTGAAGCCTGATAACAGCACATAGGCTAACACGCCTATAGACCAAATATCTGTGGATAGGCTAATGGGCTCGTAACTAAGCACTTCGGGTGCTACATAATCTACAGTACCTGGAAAATAAAATAAAAGCATTCTAATTTAATAATTTTTTGTTGTATATGGATTAAGAATAATTGGAAGAAATTATCGATTATCAATCTGGTCATTTTTGAACAATGTAGGAGAGGCCGTTTTCTATGTTCTTTTCGAAGTAAAACATAATTATTTTAAAGCAAGTTTTAAAAAATTACTTGTTGTTTTATATGGGAATTTACAGTATTGTGGTCATGCACCACATCCACTGAGTTGAAAGTTTTAGACAATCTTGGTAGTTCGGTTATGTAGTCACTTTTCTTATGAAAAAGTAAACATTATATAGCATACATTAGCACATAGACAAGTTTATTTTGACTAGTAATAAATTGTGTAATTTATGTAAAAAGTTAGTGTTACATAAAGAAAAATAACACGTTTTGCAGTTGAAATAGCTACACATTTTTGAAAAACGAATAGCAAGTCTAATGAAATTCTTCAAAGGCATACATACAATGTTTCATAAGAAAGATTTGTGAGTTTCGGAAGAAAACTGACAAGTGGGTCCATGTCCCTAAAACTAAGTAAAAACTGTTCAAAATGTGCTCTTCGAAACACCAAAGCCTCAAACCATTTACTTATTCATGGACCATTTTAAATTAAAGTTGTGACTCTAATACTAGTGCAGGCAGTTATTTGCTTTCCTTTTCATAGCAAGAGACCGAGTCGAAACGAACGAATAAATGTATATATTTAGTAAATTGTATAAATAAAAGAACAAATAAAATGTTTTTTTAGATTTTTTTGGTTTCAGTTCCATTGAACGTCGAAGAAGATTCTATTTAAAAAAGGGTAGCGTTTCATCTGAAATATCTTCTTCAGTTGTTTTTTGTTGGCAGTTTTCAATATATCCTTTTGACGTTTTGGAAAATACGTTCAGATATAAATAATTTCCATATAGCGCGAAATGTAAAATGTTCGTACGAGTGATTAACCGCAAATAAATTAGTATACAGTATGCAAGAATTCCAGGGAATTCTAAACGATTTTCTGCTTAATTGCGACAAATTTTAAGGAATTCTAAATATACCCAAAGGATCGTGACGAATTCCAGGGAATTCCGAGTAATTATAAATTTAAAAGGAATTACTCTTCGCTATGCGATTTAATCTTCGTTTTCCTATGAAAATTTTCTTGGTGTCACTGTGACGCACGCAATTTGAAAAAATATGTATGTCAACTCACCTAATATTTCTCGTACTGTAACGCCGGGCTGTAACACTTTGGATATACCAAAATCGCACAATTTGATGTCGTCGCAGCGATCGGTCACGGATAACAACAGATTCTGGGGCTTGAGATCTAGATGAGCAATGTTTCTGTCATGTAAAAACGATACACCCTCCAGAATCTGTTTCATCGCTTTGCGTGCTTCGATCTCTCCCAAGCATTGGCCGCCGTCCAGGATGTGTTGGAGTTCGCCGCCTGCGGCCAATTCCAAAACTAAAACCTGGAACAGCAAGTAACGAAATGTTTATAATGTAATGTAATACGTCTGTTTACAAATAACCATATTTTTTTTATTTCGAAGAAAAATAAACAATTTATAGTTAGTTTTGGTTAGTTAAACTGAAATTTGTCTAAATGCAGTAAAGTAGATAACTTTTGTTAAATATTTATTATTTTTGGGCCACAAGCCAAACGTATGCTTTTATAAATGGAATGCGTGTGCTAACTATACAGTTTGTAATAAATAAATGACAATTTTGTCAAATGAAATTCATTATTAACAGTGTATGATAAGAAACAAAAGTAAATGTAAATGTCGACTTTTGGATCGACTTTTGCTTTGTAAAAAAATTATTTCAATTATCAATCAATTTATATCAATTTACCAATGTATTGATCTATTCGCAATAATTTATTAGCGAAAAAACAAGAAATTCACAAAGCATCTTTTTTGGTATAACATCTTCTGCGCTCAATACGTATGCTTCTATATTTGAAGAAAGTAATTTGAAATCGATTGGTTTTATTCTGCGTTAGAAAAAAATTCTCGTTTATTACGGTTGTTCTTCGAAAAGTACATTTAAAAATACTAAAACCAATGAAATCGGCGGCTACATATAGTCTCTCAAGTATCAGTCTGTTTCTTTAAGGCAACGAAACAACAATTGCAACAGGCAATGTTCTCAAAGAGACATTGGAAAAAGAATATAAAATTAAATAACGCAGCTAGTAAAGCTTTCGAGGTGTTACCCCGAAATTTCGATCAAAATTAAAAAAAAAAGTATTTCACAATGTTGTTCAATTATCATGTACAAGATGGTTATGCAGATATAATGTAATTAATATTATAACTGAACAATATAAAGGACTGAAAGTTTATTTTAATGCAATTGTTCATACCGAAAAATCAAATACAACTCTTTTGTTAAGAAAAGTTTTAATTTAAGGTATAGGTTCCATTTTTATTATTTTGTATCTTGTAACATTTTTTTGACTTACGAAAGAAAAGTATTTTACCTTGGTAAATTATGTTTAATTGAATTAACATCGATCAATTTGGAATGACGTCATGACGGAGGGTGACAAACAAAGCATTGTGTGATTTAAATTCATATGGTTAAGTTTTACTTTTTTTTTTGGAAAAATGCCAATGTTTTGGGCTATTGTGGTTTGTTGGAGTGCGTCTATGGAAGACAAAGATCAACCTCGAGAATTCCGTTTTTTTTTTTCGTAAGGATGTTTTATTTTGACACTAAGGGTCTTATAATAACCACCTAACTTCATACATCAAAATTATCTAAAAAAAAAAACAAACAGATTAGTACAAAAATAACTTCTAAACAAATTCTTGTTCTTATCTAAGAAAACTGGCCGCTCATGAGTTCAAAATGATTCTAAATAGTCAACGGGTATAAATAGAGACGTTATATAAATTAGTTTTATACTGAATCGCAGCGTATAAATAGTGTTAAGTTATACACTCTGTTTATCGAACCAGAACAATGTTTGAAAAATTAATAACTTTGAGTAAGAGAATTTGCAAATTTCACTTACCATTTCTGTGGAAGACTCGTATACTTCGTGGAGACGAATAACACGGCTAGTGGCCGAGCACTGCATCAATACGGCTATTTCGTGTATAATTTCTTTCATTTGATCTTGATTTCGACGTCGCTTTTTCACAAATTTCGCGGCGTAGTGCGTTCCCGTTTTCTTGTGTACTGCACGGCATACTGTTGCGTATTTTCCCCTAAACAAAAAAATACTAGAAATAAGTTTTGTTCTTCTCAAGGTGTTTCAAAACTCAAAATGCAAAGATTTTATTTAATAAGCGCATAGTGGAAAAGTTCGTTTTTTATTAATTACTTAAAAACCTGAAATAAATTTCAGTCCAATAGCAGTTGAAAAAGATAGGCAAATAAGAACCAAATTTTATGAAAATTGGCTTTTAGTAATTAATAAAAAAAATACCGCTTTTCTATAACCTTTAATACTCTGGATCTTGAAAACGCAGCAACTTAAGACGTATATTTATATGAAAAAACTGACTGTTTTTTGAATGTAAAATCTATGTACTAAACTCCGAAACACTCTGTATATTTCTCATACACTCTATTCTATATCTGAATAGATTTTTAAACAGAAATATATTTCACAATACCCCATTTTTAACTAAATTAAAATTAAAATTAAATAAATTAATATATTACTCAAGAGACACCTTCACGTATACAATGGTACCTATCTTATTGACAAGCCGTTATTAGGACACTATTTTCAGTAAGTGTAGTTATATTCTCATGAATAATTAGTGTTGGGACTAGTCCATCGACCACTTCTTAATTGACTAGTCAAATTCGATCAAAATGTTTTAAATAATATCTTGCAATTGTACTGTGAAATCTATCATTATTTAATAATATTATATATATAATAATAATAAATGCGATTGTCATGTCCAATTTACCTATAAACCTCTTCAAGGCTTAACCGAATACAACACTTGGAGATTCTAGAAATCTCAATAAAAATTTCGACTCCATTTACAGTTCTTAAAACGACGCAATGACGACCTAACGCACAATATAAATAATAAATAAATATAAACTTCCTTGTATTAATAAAATTATTTCGGTTAATTGACCGGTCATTTCACTGGTCAATTTACACAAAAAAAATTGTACCGGTCAATTTCACAACGCTAGTAATAATGCTCACCTATTAATAATAAATTTAGACTAACTCTAACTTTTTACTTTTAATTTTTAATTTTTTATTTTCGCCTAAAAAGTTATCAACAATTTGTTGTTCAAAACTCTACATTATTTGAAATTCGACTTAAAGTTTAGATTCGATTTTTGAAACCAATCGGCAAAATCTAACAAACAGACTTTGAGGCAGAAAAAATATTTATACTAATTTCAAATAATACACAGAGGGTATTATTAAATCTGAAAATCAACCTGTCGAAATTTGATATTTACCAAAATTTGTTAATATTATTGAGCAAATTTTCACTTCACCTATGGGAGACGCCGTAAGTAAAGCAAAAATGTACAAGAAAACACTGTACCTTGTAATAAGGGCATTTTTTTCATATTTGCTAATTTTGATCAACCTGTATATAAGCGGAATATAATTTCCATTTGTGTTTGATGTTTAAAGATAAACATTAAGGCTAATAAGGTATATAAAAAATAACTGTATCTTATAAACTTATCTAAAACATTTGTGTTTTATAATAACCATTTAATTTGAATGAAAGAAAATAAAATATTATGCAACACGTTTGGCAAAACGCCACATTAGTTACGAGTTTCGTGAAATTATCAACGTGAGCCAGAATACATTCACTTAGTGACGTCATCAGCAAAATTGACAAACGTTAAAATACTATGGTTAAAATCTACCGAAAAAATCCGATCGCTTCAAGCCCAAACGAAATTTCCAAAAAATCATATCTAAGTAAAGATATCGACGAAAACCAAAAAACGAAAAAGTCAATAAAAGTAGCTTGACAATTAAAGGGCAACAATTGGATCTCTATCACTCTATCCCCCTCTAAATTTTAGCTCAACATTTATACTTGTATATTAATTGCACCTATATTCATGCAATTGCAGATGAATTTACCGATAATATAAAACAAAAGGAACTAAATTTACTGACTTTACCGAGGCAGCTGACTCAAAGTCTGCTATACAGCCGCAAATTACGAGCCCTTAGACAAAAAAAGAAGATTTAAACCGATTCCTCGAGCACCAGTTTTCGCGATGTTTGCGGTGCGAGGTTACGTTCTTTATCGCCCGTTAATGTCTCCATTTGAACCAGGCCGTTTCCGAGAAACGATATCGGCCACGGTTTATTATTCAATTAACGTCCGTCGCGCGTCTTCTTTCTCGGAACTGCGCGTCATTCCCGTATACGCCACCTTCCATTTTTCTACACCACTGGCCGGTCAAAGACGTAAGTGTAGTATGGATTCCGAGAGGTGATCGAATGTCATATGGCCAAGGCCATTAAAGGCCGACCGAAGTCTGCGAAAGAGGAAGCTTAATATCGAACACAAAGTGACGGGATTGGCAAGAAGCCAACGGGCGCGGCGTTGCCAATTCGTTGGAAACTTAGCCGAAAAGCACGACTGCTTCTTACTACTCATTTATTTATTTTTGCACGGATGGAGAGTCACAAAATTAAAGAAGTATAACATAAACTGTGAAAGGAGATTTCAAACAAATTTATTAAATGGAATTCTTAAGTAAGGTTAACATTACGTTATATTAAATCGAAGAAAATCATTTTTAAGGTAAATTTGCGTGATTTATATTGCCATACAGCGAATAAATACATAAAAAATGTAAAAATTTCATTTTTCTGACGACATTTTGAAAATTCTCTGGTAACCAAATGTAATTATTATACGTTGCAACTTGTCTGTTAATTCTCGTTAAAAATCAGTGGTTAGGGTCAAAAAGGGTAACTTGTGTATTTGCTGCGTGTTACTAGTTAAGAAATGCTGAAGGTATCATACGACTTGTGTGTAATTCTTTTCCAAATTAAAATGCCGGCGATAAAAGAACATCTCTGGTAAGAAACCAGTATATATTTTGCTGTAATTTTTTGACAAAATTACGTGAAATTACAATTGCAACATAGGTTGTCAAACAATAATTTTATGTAAAATTAGTAAATAGTTTTAACAGGGTGGCCTGCGCCTCCACCTAAGTGTTGACATTCTGTAACTCTTTGTGGCATGCTGCGATCCAGTTGATTGATTCAACCGATCATATCCTATATATGTTAGTAGACCATAAATGTGATTTATTAGGATTATTTAGGATTGAGGTTTACGTTTCGGTCTAAAAAACTGGAGGTGACCTGTTTCATTCAAAATTTATATTTCTTCAGGTCTTGTCAATTTTGTATTGAAGCATATGGAGAAAGAAATGACATTTAGCCGTATTTAGCTGTATTCCGTCCAAAGCAGTGGCTAGTCTCTCCAAGCTTGGCGGCAGAAGAAAACTACGTTTGATACCTTGAAATCTATATAGACAGAATCAATCTCTCCACCACCCTCCAAGGACTCGACCAGACAATCAATATATGAAATCAAACAAACGAAAAATATAGATTTATGTGCACTAGAAAATAATACAAAATGAAATGAAAAGTTATTATAGTCAGGTGTTTGCTGAAGATGCAGAAATCAATATTAAAACAACTGTCCTCCAATGTTAGGCGGTATAGCAAAGACATAGAAACATTATTTGAAGTTGTTGAAACTAAAAACAGAAAAAATAATACCGGCTTACAAAAAAGGTGCACAAGATGGTTTCTCTTAGTAGTACAGTGTATGAGCAAGTGTATAAATTCCGAATATGGGATTAAAATAAATATAAACAATAAAATATAATAATAAAAATAAATCTTTGTTTTCATCAACCTACAAAAAACAATCGACACTGTCTATTATAATGACACAAAGTTGACAAAATTTGAGAAAATAGGGTTTCGAAGTATATGATAATTTGTTTTGCATGTATATGAATTAATGAATGAAAGCTTATATAAGAAGTACAGTAATTTTTTAAAATGGAAGGACAAAAAACTTTGGAGCAACTTAAAGAGCCATCCGATTGGTTGAAGGCAACCTTCATACTTAATACGCAAAAAGGCTAACTCCTCAACCTGTGATAATCACTCAATAGAATTTAAAAAAATATATGATTTCCCCGTCCAATTTGGATTTAGTAATGGTATTGGTGCGAGAGAAGCATTGTTTTCTCTAACCCAGAGGTGTAGAGATATTGAATGTGGACGTATTGAGTGTTTTGACCACTGTTGTAAAGCTCTTGATAATGTTTACCACCACAAACTAATAGAAATCCTAAAATCCAGTGAACTGTACTGGAATCAAATAGTTGAAATCAACATTGATCAGAATATATCTGAACAAAACAAAAATTAATTGTTTAATATATTCTGAAGAAACAATTAGAGAAGCACTTGACGAAGAATCAAAAGAAATTAAAATAAACGGAAACCCAATAACTAACATTAGATATGAGGATGACACTGTAATACTATCTGCGAACTTAATGGAATTACATATGATAAACCGTATCACGCACCACTGCGAACCTATTGGTCTGCAAATAAACACCTCTAAGACCAAACTGTTTTTTTCCAAAATACGTGGAAACGCGTCACTTTGGTGATTTAGTTGAATTGAAATAAAATACAGGACTGAGCGGGCTCGATGAACATTTATAAGCATATAGAAACTGTTCATCAGATCTACCCTTAATCTACAACTTCAGAAAGGCGAGTTGCTATATAACACAAATAGAGCAGCGATTAGCATTTGAAATGTATATTTACCGCCACATATTAAAAATATCTTGGCCCCAAAGATTATCAAATGCCGAAGTTCTCAACACACAACACTAAAAAACGGAAAGCTTCATATTGAAAACATACCATGAGAAGCGATTGGTTCAAGTTGTTAAAATTAATTATAGAAGGCAAGATACAAGGCAAGAGATCGGCACTTGAGAGAGAAACTAATGTTAAATATATAAGATTTTGGTAATAGAAAATATTAATTTTTGTTATCTGTTTATATAAATGGATGCTGAGGCGTCGCTGCCAGTATGCATTCTGCTGTTTATCATTAAGCCACCAGTCAGAACTAATCTCTAGGATAATTTAAAAGAGAATTTTGCTTCTAATTAAAGATATCCCAGTCAG